CACTTGACCACAACAAGCTTAACGAGAATGGTGGATGCACACTTGCTACTCTCCTTGCACCAATGAGGCTTTAATCTTGGATTCTCAAATCTCAATCACCTCACTAGGCTCTTGCTCTTCTTTGCACTATCAAGGGTGTTTCACAGCTGAACAAATGGGCAAGAGACCTCCCTTGGATGAATAGAGAAAGTATTTATACCCCCTCATTCAAAACGAACTGTTAGGAGGTTGAGTCAGCACTCTACGGGGTGAACGGACGCTTCGATCAAAGTGACCGGATGCTCCGATCAGTTATCCCTGCCATAGAGCCATTAAGTTGTGACCGGACTCTGACCTGCGTCCGGTCAGCACTGACCGGACGTGTCCGGTCATGAAAACTGCTCTCTAGAACCTTACTGATGTTGACCAGATGCTGGCACCTAGAGTCTAGTCACTTCACGGTTCAACGTCCGGTCGGTAACTGGATCCTGACCAGCGTCCGGTCAATGCTGGTCAGCACTGACCGGACGCGTCCAATCATGAAACTTCCTCTCTAAAACCTCTCTGGAATTGACCGGACGCAGGAACCCAGCGTCTGGTCACATTTCACTCAGCATCCAGTCACAACCAGACGGCTCCAGTTGATCAAATGAACTGACCAGACTCACCCTTCAGTGTCCAGTCACAACTAGACCAGCGTCCGATCAGCCATTTGACCCTCCATTCATTTCCAACTCGAAGTCATATATGAATAGAGTTTGCTCCAATTGATCTTAGGGCTACTCCGAAGCTACCTAGTGCTAGATTTGATAAGTGTGCACCACACCTAACCCACTAGACTCACTTAGGTCAAACTACTAGTCCATACCCCCTTAATAGTACGACCAAAGGAAAAACAAAGTCCTAAACTACTCTAAGTGTCTCTTCAACACCAAACGACACTTAGAACTAGTCCATCCTTAACCTTGTCGTCCATCCTTTGAAAACCAAAACGATTTCCATCGTAGGGGCACGACAACCACGATTTCCCAATCAATTACTATTACCATGACCTAACTTAATTGCCTCCACAAAACACACATTAGTCATATTAATCTCGTATTGTCATTAATCATCAAAACCCAACTAGGAGCCTAGTTGCTTTTAGCCCCGGCCTTGGGCCATTGCTACGCCGCCATGGCGCGCGCAGCCGCGCTACACTGGACTGTCGGGCCTAAAGGGTCGCTGCCGACCCTTTCTTTTTTCTAATGTATTTTCTAATTATATTTCTGAGCTGATCTTTGATAAATCATATAAAATCATGTAGGTGTCCAAAAATTGTGAAACCAATTTTGTTGGGTTCCTAAAATCATGACCTATCTGCTAATGTATTTTGTTCACTTAGTTTCATAGAATTTTTAAGAGTAGACTAATTAATTTGAAGCACTTAAAATGGGTAAAACATGAACTTGTAGGAATTATTGTGATGAATTGGTAGTAGTACTGGCCCTGAAATTTTTACAGTGGATTCCTAACAGTATTAGGTGCTCACTGTAATTTTTGTAACTCTATATGAATTAGTTTGTTAAGGTAATTAAATGAGCCATAGTACGTAAATATATATTTAATCAATCAAATGTCAAAAATAATTAGGGGTTTGTAGAACAAAAACCTTTTTCTGGAAATGAGCCTCACTTGACTACGTGGATACATGGCTTAGTATGTTAGTCATTAGAGCTAGTTCGTTAGCTTGCGAGACATAATCGTATTTTAGAGTTGCGGTTGCCGTTGATTATTTACGTCCCTGCGTGGCATCCACGTATTTCATGATAGGAGCGATGTTGGATCGCGGAATCATCGGGAGTAGCGGAAGCAGATGGTGACTTGATGATCATGCCACCAAGATGAAAGCTAACTTGGTTATATCTTACCCAAGCAAGCCCCGGTGCATAACCCCTATTATTTTGAACTTTATTTTATGTTTGTGCATTAATTTTAAGGAGTTGAATAAAAACCCACTTGCATATATATATATATATATATATATCCTTATCCTAGGAGTCTTACTAGTAGGATAGGATCGTGTAGATTGCTATGCTACACGACTCCGGTAGAAGTCGAGTAATTACCTATCACTCGCGAAAGATAGGAAATATATTATTGTTTTTATTATATTACTATCAAATGGAATATATATGAATAATAAATGGGAGATCGGGCGGAATGGTACTTTGGATCTGAACTTGGTTTGGCATTCGAGCGAGGCTTGGATTGCAATTGTTCAGCCTATGTCGATTGAGGACCGTCCGTTGCATTGGATTCTAGTCAGATCACAGACTTATTACCATGAGCACATACTTGCTTATGGGGGCGGGAAGGCTCGTTGCTCTCTTGTCGTGGGTTCCGGCTCTTTCCGGACCGACTGATTAGAGGCGGGGATGGTGGAGGTCTAAGCACCACACTGAGTCCAGGACTCAGGTGTGGGGGCTTGGAGTCCAAGTTTGAACGGGGACCTGGACCCCTTGACAGGAGAGTGGTGGGTTGGTCCTGCTTGTGCCTAGGGTACAAGCGGGGCGTGTGTTTCAGGGTACTCAGCTGGGATATATTGGTTCATGAATCACCGTGTGATATGGTATGACTTGGCTACGATCTAGCACCGTAGTAAGAACTAGAATATGAAAGATGTTAAAATAGTTCTGACTGCTTACCACCTGCTTGAAAGTAGCATAGGTGCTTACATAGAATGGTTAGTTAATGAACTAATGATGACTGCTAATAAAATTGAATATAAGGATGCGCTGCTTAGTAATGCTTTCTACAGATGCAATAACCCACAAGCCAGATCGCCTTGCATATCCTTAGAGTATTTTCTTTCCTCTTGACGGGTAAGCCTTGCGGAGTATAATTGAGTACTCAGGGTTTGTTCTACCCTGTTGCAGGTGACAGGAACATGTGGAGCTGACACTTGTGTGTGGAAACTTCCTGGTGGGCTCAGCGAGGATTTCTTTAACGTTGCGGACATAGAGTTTATTTGAAACTTTCACCCAAAATGTTTTACAATGGAAAAACTTATAACATGTTATGATGTATATAACGGATCCTCATGCTAATGTTTAATTTGTCATTAAATAATTTTATTTCTGCTAAAACTCTGATAACATGGTTATATCCCGCTGTTATAAATAATAAATATTATACTCTGATGTTGCATGGAAAGTGATGTAAGAAATGACTAAAATGTTGTAAGCTTTATTCTCCCATTTATGATCATGTTGAAAAATGTGGATTTACGGGTTCTCCCATGAGGTGTGCTCGACAGAACTGTCTAGATTAGCTTACTCTTGGGGTGTTTAGTGTCTAATAAAAGATAAGCACCTCCGAAAGTGAGTTATTTTAGATGGTTCTGCCACATATAACCTCTAATGCAATACAATCTAATGCGAGTAACCAATCAGACCCATAATACACGCACGCACACCTTATCCATGTGAGCACATCCTAAGTACGACTCCCTCAATCATATAAAGAGTATTATTCTCATTTTTCGAGAAGTCAAATATTTTTATCTTTGATTAAATATATATAAGAAAATATTAATATTTATAATGCATAATTTGTATCATTAAATGAATCGTTGAATATATTTTCATAATAAACTTATTTAAAGATATAAATATGGTAATATTTGTTATAAATCTAATAAAAAACTTGAAAAAAGTTTGATCAGTACAAAAAGCCATATATAGTGACATTCTTTTTGGGACAGAGGGAGGGAGTCTCGATAGATCTTAAGGTTGACTGAGTTATTGTAAACGTCTCGCTATCAATAGACACATCATCTACCACTAGAAAATAACATTTTAAATCCTATAATAAGCCAATGTCTTGTTGCAACCTCCCGAGCTTCTTCTTTGCATGCGCGGTTTTGTCAGCGCGCGTGTTTTAGCTTAGGCGCGTGGTCAAATCCTCAATCTCTCACTGAACAGAGGGTTTAGTCAGCAACATCTTATTAGGGGTTCACAATATAATTTGAACAGCATGCATGCAACGACTCGACAAGTAATGCCAAAACATTATTCAATCTATAGCCATGCGCTATTAGCATCGTTGTGTAAGCATGATTCCATTCTCACGCGCCTCTACTCTCCCGAAGTTCGCCCCACACCCAGTTGTCTTGGCATGATTCATACGGTCGTAAGCATGATTCCGCGTTGCCTTGGCATGTACGTAGTAATCAATTAGTATTACGTTGTAACTTCACGCTCCTACTTTCGCCGTCCTTTCAAGTTTATTTGCATGTATATGAATCAATCATTCCTTACCACACAGCTTCAGCCGTAAAGCAAACATTTTTAGACTAAACACAAACCATATCACGACCGGCTCCTGAGGATCTAGAACCAATTCAAAGTCCACCTGACTCCTGAGCAGTAGCCAGGACTCGACGAGATCGACGAGCGAGGCTAAGCAAGCCAAGCGAGACCAGCAGATCACTAATCCCTCGAAGACTTGAACGCGTCTCCACCTGTTCATCAGTCAGCCCAATATTCCATTGCAAGCCGGTCGGCGTGAGCAAATAAACCAGAATTCAGAAAAATAATACACCACATTCCTTCAGCCCCATTCATCTATCCGTGCTATATACTCTTGTTTCTCTGGTCAAAGTCCAATAATAACCATTTCTTCCCGCTTAATTTAATGCAGTCTGATCGGCGATCGCAGTTCACGACCAAGCGGCCTCTCTCCGAGTGAGACCGGCCGCCGTTGCGTTTGCGCTGTCTGTCTCCTGCCGTATCTGCACAAGGCGGCCATTATGTTATGCCGAGCCCGTACACACAGAAAGAAGCGCAGAACCCCAGCTCTGTCCGGCATCCGCGCCTGCACAGTCATATATAGGCGGTGCACCGGCCGCGCGGACGGCAGCACCAAGCGGAAAAGCTCACAAGCCGGCCAGACCAGGTGTGGTAGCTAGAGAAGAGATCGAGAGCGGGGGATCGAGGCCGTGCTTGGTGCGGCCCAGCCCCGCGCGCGCGTATACATACATGGCCGGGCTGCAGCGGTCGAGCGAGACGTACCGGCGGTCCGGGTCGTCGGGGACGGTGTGGGAGAACAAGCACCAGTCGGCGTCGGGCGAGCTCACCGCCAAGCCGGCCCGGCCCAAGGACGCGCGGCAGCAGTGGAGCGGCCACGGCGGGTACAGGACGACCGCCCACGTGCAGCCGGCGCTGGACCCGCCGTCCCCGCGCGTCGCCGCCTGCGGCTTCTGCAGCCTCTTCTGCAAGGACAAGCATCAGCCGCCCCGACGCGCCAGCGGCAGGGGCCGGCGCCGCTGAGCGCTGACGAGTTCGGCCGGGCCGGGCGGGCGTCCAAGCTCTCTCTGCTCATGCACGCTATAGTCTTGTTAGCTACTGGTATTTTCTTGCTGCTTTTAGCTTCTTAGAAGAGACACATGCATGCATGATAAGAGGTCACACCGTCACAGAATACTGAAGATTTGTGTTCATGTTCGTACGAAATATATAGATCGCATTGTGCACCGTTCTTCCCTCTTCTCTCTTGATACAGTGGATTGTACCTTTTGATTCCATCACAGGAAATCGATCGCCTAGTCGCGTATATACTGAAAATTTAGGCGACGTACTAACACCCAGCTGAAGGATTCTCAACATTCTACCTTGCTTGTGAGTTGTGACTTTCTTTGCTCTTGTAGCAGTAACAGTTAGACTCGCCTGCAGTACTAATCACAACTTGGCGACACTAATGTCATGTAGTTCTATATGTTCACTGTATGTATCCTCATGTCCCTTTCGTGATGCCTGCTTTTTCTTATTCGTACATATATGGAACAAATCAGCTCCCTGTTTGTTATTCAACTCTACTCCATTAGCAGATAAGCTATATTTTTCCTGAGTTAATAATGATAACAAGATTGGACTGGACTTGAATCCCCAGACAGTTCAGACTCTGGAGTCCTTATTCAACCACGCAGAACAAATTTTTCTCCCATTCAAACGGTAGCATCATGCCCTCAACTTGCCTGGAAACTAGATGCAGCTGAAATGTCGCTTTAGAAAACCTAGAGTTGAGTTGATTTTGAGACAATCACTGGTCATACATTGAAGCAGCAATTTATTTAGTTAGAATATTTTAATTAAAATTTGCACAAAATCTATTCTAACTATATATCAGGTCGGTCTATATTATTCTTGACCATAGCATTGAGTTTTGTAGTTTCCATTGTATCTCGTGTAAGTAACTGATCCGAGCTCAAGTTAGTCGAAGACGTGGGTGTACACCCAAACCACCCTAAGTCATTAGAGGAAAATTTAGGTGGCTATTTCTTCTTAACTGAAAAGACACCTATTTCCTCTTACATTGGTCTTTTACATCATGTAATGCTTATCAAGATCATAGGTTGTGTTTGGTTTGGGGCGGGACAGGGACAAGATGGGATATTCCACTTCGTAGTGTTCGTTTGATCAGACTAGCATACTAGCACAGGTAGTGCACAAGCCCAATCTCCTCGATCACCACCATGTGCCACAACGACATGCGCGACCGCAGGTAGCCCAACCCGGAGAAGAGCATGTCCCGCACTCGTAGGGGACCAGCTCATTCACCACGCCGCGCACCAGCATCGCTGATGCCGCCAGGGACGCCGCCATCGTCACCGCCACGACTCGATCGCCTTGTCATAGGTCGTCGCCATGGCGATGCCTGGCTAGCCGGTATTTCACACCCTCTGTCTCTCTCGCTTAACTTTCAGACCCTACAGTTCTCTCACTCAGAATTGAAATGCCAGGAGGATCGATCGATTAATCGCGTCGAAGGAGGGGGTGAACGAACAATGTTGGTTGTGCACTTGTGTTGTGTGTGGGGCTCCTTTGTCTCTCTTGCTCAACTTTCAGACATACAATTCTCTCGCTTAGAATTGAAATACCGGGAGGATCGATCAATTGATCGCACCAAAGGAGGGGTGAACGAACAATGTTGGTTGTGCACTTGTGCCGTGTCTAGGGCTCCTCTGTCTCTCTCGCTCAACTTTCAGACCCTACAGTTCTCTTGCTCCAACCTAGCTCCTCTGCCGCCATCCGAGGCGGCCCCTGAGGCCACCGTCCCAGCCCCGGTGAGGTCCCCCTTCCTCCCCCTCCCCCCGGCCCCCGGGGGGCCCTCATGGAGCCTTTTGCGGCCATGGTGGCCGGCGAGAAGTTCTCGGTGTTCATCAGGGAAAAGTTTGGTAAGCCTATTGCCCCTTCCTCTGCGGCTGAGGGTTCTTTCACCCTGCTCGTCGCCTTTGGGAGATGTCGCTCCCGCCTAGAGGACCCATTTGTTGCTAGGGTTCTCAGCTCGCTCTTTGGGAGTCCTACTGCCCATTTCCAAGTTTGCCTGGTTGAAGACAGAGTTTTCCTCTTCCTGGCCTCCTGCAAGCAAGTGGGCTTTGAAATCTACAAGCTCAGTAAGTTCTCTTGTCACGAGTTTGAGCTCAGTTTTCATCTCTTTAATGAAGCTGGTTTAGCTGCGGCGCGCTCGCTCTCTTGTGGAAAGCCACAGTTTCTGTGGGTTGAAGTTGGGCAAAAGCTCTCCTTCGTTGATGCTGTGAAGTAGCCTACGAATTCCCGTTCAAAGGGCAACCCTGTTGCTATTCTCACCGGAATGAACTCCGTCCCTGTTCTTCAGAAGTCGAGTGTGATAGCCTCTCTCAACCGTACTTCAGTTTTCGATCGCATTGTCTTTCCGAGAGTTTCAGCTTTTGAGCGGCTTTCTTGGCCCAAGCAGTCTACTCAGTCTGATCAAGCAAAGAAGCTTTGCCGATCAGCTGCCATGAAGCATTTGCAGGGTTCTGATTTCTCTGATAAGCAGCATCGGGTTGTTCCTGAAGGTTCAGTTGTGCAGGATCATTCAGAGTCTAAACCATTGAATTTGGATTTGAATTTGGGTCCTTCAAAAGTTATGGCTGGGAATTCATTGTAAAATAAGCAGAGTGGCTCTGTCTCTTTGGTTCTTGTGTGATGCCGGCGGTGCCACTCTTCGGCACACCCAAGGTCTGCATGCAGATCCCCTATTAAATGTGATATATGTGAAGGGTGGGGCCATGTTGCAGCCTCATGTCATGAGAATTGGAAGAAGCTGCAAGCGAGTGTGAAAGGGAAAAAGTTGGATAACTTTTCCAAGGATTTCGGCCCTGGCCTTGATTGCTCTCGCTGGTTCAAGACGGTTAGTATGATAGCGGGCCCTTCGTCGCCCCCTCGTTTCTTGTACTTTGTGAATGCCCCGGGTGACCCTTTGGCTTCCCAGACTATACATTGGAGCTCTCCGTCGCTTCCTGAGGCCCGATGCACTGTTGAAGAAAACCCTAAACTCCAGAGTTCTCATCGTCGGTGCCGACAATGGCGTATTTCTGAGCTGACCCGACGCCGTTTCTCCCTCGTGGGCTCAATCACCTTGATGTTGGTCCGCAGAAGCCAATGAAGAGGGTGGTTTTGATGCGTCCTCGTGCCAAGAATCAAGACTTGGCCATATCGTCTCCATCAACCCAATGTCGGCGCATCAGGTAACCTTCTAGGCAATCCGTGAAGTAATGACAGATTTCTTGACCAACGAGCAGAATGTAGTCTTCACAGATATGCAGCCTACTCATCTCGGTCAGGCCTACGCTAGGTTCAAAAATGATTTTGATAGAGATCGGCTTATTAATCATGGTCCTTATATCTTTGGTGATGTCATGGTCACTTTTGTTGAGCACGACAAGGATAGAAACTGGCATGCTATCAACTTTAACAGGGAGTGCTGGTTGTTGTTGATGGGATTCCCGCTAGATTACAGAGAGGATGAATTTGTTGCTAACACAATCAGTACATTTGGTAGATTGCTTTATTGGGCTGATGATGGTAGGCACCTTTCTAGGCTCTTAGTGCGTGCAAGGGTTGTGGATTTTGAGTTAATTCCTCAGTTTCTTGTTCTAACTGAGGGAGAAGGCTTCCAAGGGGAGTCATGGACTGTGTAGTGCGAGGTCCTGTAGGGCAATCTACTTGGTGGGCTGCCATAGGATGAAGATCTAGCTCCTAGCCCAGATGCTTTTCCACCTGGTGGTCCCTTCGATATATTTGTCTTTAGCCAGAATGGGTCCGGTCCTGTAACTCAGCCCAATCATCAGATAGGCCCCAATCTGCTCCCTGGTGGTGTTGATGGACAGAATAACCTAGTGAATGATGTTGCAGCTGCTGGAGACTGGGGGCATGGTCTGATAATGTCCAGAACATTCCCAATTTCAATCTGAATGATGATGTGGTGGATCCTTAGGAGCTTGATCTCAATGTGCAACCTGATTTGCAGGAAATGATTATGGATCCAGTGTTTGCAGGCCCACAGCACCATGAGATGCATTTTGATATTAATGAGTTCCTTAATCAAGTTAATGTGGAAGAAGAGGACAATCAAGTGGAACAGGAGGTCCCAGCTGTGGATCAAGGTGTTATTGAACCAGCACTGGTCCCACCGGCTGTTGAAGTCAACATCCCTATGGTCAATGAACCTGAGATCTTTCTTCCCTTGGAAATTTAGGAGGATGATCTGATGGGAGATGAGGAAATTCAGCAGCAGTTGGATGTGGAAGCAGCCCAAGGAAATGGTTTTGGGCCCCAGAATATTCATGTGGGCTTTGTCTTCACTAACTTTCAGCCCAATCTATCTGCTACTAGCTCTTTTGTGTCTGTTACCTAGCCTATTTTTTAGGATAGCTCTGGTATGTGGAAGTTCTTTGCTCCCCAGCACAATTTTCTGTTCCTGTTGAATGGGCAAGTTTCTTTACTGCCCTTCTGATGTCCCCTGGTCACTTCGAGAAGGCTAAAGAATTTATTTAGTCTGCTAACCTCCTCCCCAATATTGGTGAAGGCCAGAATGTTGGTTTCTCCCTGCCCATCAATTGTCCAAGCAAAATCCCTCTCACCTGCAAGTTATCTCCTGTGACTGAAGCTAAAGATGCAAAGATAGATGCTGAAGATACCCCTCCTGTGGACAGTGATGGATCAGTTGCTTCTGCTGCTAGGCTAGATCCCACCACTAAAGCTGTCACTAAGAAAAACGGAAAGAGAGCAGCTGCTTTGGTTGAAACTCAAGTGAGAAGGAGTCCCAGGGTTCAGAAGAACAAGCAAGGCTTCAAAGACCCTATCTACAAGGGCAAGAGCTGCCTGGGATGCAATTCTATACCACTGCCAATCTCCACAAAGACCATCAGGAAGCTAAGTGCCTCCCTCTGTGACATTGAGGCATCCCAAGTAACTAACCTGGCCCTCAACAAGAAGAAGGGTGCAGCACATGTTGGTACTGTGCCTCC